TTATCCCCTCCCCCAAGCTCTCTGCAGTTCCTGTTAAAACTGTTTCTACTGGAGGAGTGGCTACTTTCTAACAAGTTAACATAATCAAAATCACAGCTGTTGGTGGGAACCAGACCTTTTTGATTTTTCAAGCCCTTGTCAAGGCAAACACCCGCCACACGTTTGAGGGATAGTATTTAGCTATAGGTAGGGTACCTTATGTTTTATTATAACTGCCAAGCAATTACTAATGTCCAACTATCTTTCTGACTGATTTTTAGTAGCCATTAGCTTCCAAATAGATAAGTAAATGAGTATGTAAATAAATAATTGTTTTTGCTCTTCTTGTGTCTAAAACACCAGCTGAACCCCTGTTTAGAACCATCAGGGTGAGTGTCCGCATACCTCTACCTCCTGAGTGCTGGGATTACAGGGGTGGGCCACTACACCTGCTTAGACCCATTTCTTTAAACAGAAAGTTGGGGCTAGGAATGCAGCCCAGTAGTTGAACATTTGCTTAACATGCATGTGTAAGAGACCACGGGTCAATCTCTAACACTGTGATGTTGCGTGACACAGCATCTCCAGGGAACTTAACCCAGTGCCTCCCGCCACCAGAGTCCACATCATCTTCAAGTATCTGGAAGCACAGTCTACTTCTCCAGAGTAAAATCAGAACTTCTGATTTCAACCTACAGCAGAGGTCGTATGTTATGGAGAAGCCTTCTTTCTCAGAGGCTGTCGCTAACAGGGGCTGGGGCTGCAGCTCAGTGGCAAGTGCCTGTCTTGCACACAGGAGGCCCAGAGTCAGTCAGTCCTCCTCCCACCCCCACACGCCCACCAACAAAAAAGACTGCAGGCAGATGCTGAGCTGGGCTGGACCTCTTCAGACAAAGTATCACTTAGAGTTCCTCCAAGCCTGCCTTAAACTGCCCTCAAATGCTCAGGATCCAAACAAAGTCAGACAGCATCATCTATTTGCCAAAGACATAATATAAACACTATAAGCCTGGCATATCCCTCCCTCTAATCCATCAAAAATCCTAACCAAGTACAGACCTTCCAATCCTATGCTCTAAAAATATATTAACCTCCAAAATATTTTTTACAAATTATTAGCCAACTACAGGAACCAAAAATTATTTGAAAAAAAATACTTTAATGTGGGAAACATTAGAAGAGATGCTCACCCTTAGAATCACTAAAACCACCTAAGTTTGCAAAACTGTTAAAGACACTAGATAAAATTGCATAACAACCATGAGACTATACTTCCTTACACGAAACAATCCTTTCTTTCAAGCCAACACAGTATCATCTTAAGGAGGACTGCACAGCTACTAGTCTCTTGAGGAAATACATAATTAAGTAGTTTTTTAGCATATTTAATTAGACCCCAAACTCTTCCTGTCCCCTCCTCTCCCCAATTATATACCATTTGCCCAAGAGACCTAAGCAACTCAGTTAATTATGTAAATAAGGCAAGCACTATTCCCAAGGAGAGCATCATGAATATTTGTAAAAAGAAAAAAAATGTCTGTGTATGTGTTTTAGTGGCTTTAAAAATTCTTTGCAAATACTTATAATACTTATATATACATGTAAGTACATTACATATAGTATCAAATACATGGAAAACCCTTACATTTGAGGCAAAAACATGTAGAACAATAACAAGATGATGAATCATTAAGGCAGAATACTCATTTCAATTTTTAAATATGATCTGAATAAAAATAAAATATTTTAAGTTCCAACAGTAACAAAAATTGAGTGCTGACTGTCAGATGATTTCCAGAAGGAATCAGTCTGGAGGTGATTAAAGTCGACTGGCACAGAAGGCTTTATTATCTGGGGGTTGACACAATCTCAACTCTGGAGGCAGCCACGGCACTGTTAGCACTACTACAATCCCATTATTATGCAATCACAAAATGCTAATTTGATCATTTTGAGGTGTTATTTGAATAGTCATTTTAATTTCTAGGTTACAAAAAGGCCTGACTCAAGTATAATTCTCTATTAATCACTGAGATGCCATTGACTATCATATTGATGCCTTTTACAAAGATAAAGACTGATTTAGTACTTACAGTAAGTACAATATCCTTCAAATACTAGCCACTTTCATTACGCATCTGCCAAATGCATCAATATTAAATAATAGATGAGAACAAGGGTTTAATTGTATTTTAGCATTGTAATATATGGGGTAATAAGAAAATAGCAGGCATTATAAGATAGACTTACACAATGTATAAACCCTTCTTAGTCAATGCACACTCTCTACAGATGACCAAAAGGTTCATGAAGACAAAGCATAGGGCAACTTAAATGTAAATACACCTCTAACAAAAATGTTGGTGTGACTGAGGAAATTGGGGTATTTTTTGTTTTGTTTTTATTAATTATCTCCCTGGACTTCAGAAGTTAGCTATGTGTACCAAGCAATGTTCACAATTCTCAGACAAATCCAAACCCAAGCTAATGAATGGTAAAAGGGAAATTCTAGAAAGTATTATTTTTTACAGTCTGAGCTAGTTTGTTGGCATGGAATCACACACTAATTATTCTATCAACTTAATCATCAAACAATGAGACTGTATCAGCTACAGAAGCAAGTGAATTCCAGCCATGTCCCAATTCAGGATGGCTTCTCCCCCCTCTAAATGAGTTCTCTGCAGAGTGCTGGGGAGTCTTCCTTCTTTTCCCTTCAGGACTGCACAGCATGGGCTAACTAGAAGGAGGTTCAGAGCAATGAACCCTGGAAGTGACAGTGCTTTTGGGTGTTTTCTGAGGAGCTCTTGAGCACCTGAGGGCCTGTATGTTCCTGATGTGTTTCGTTTCTAGTTCCTGTCCCCACTCTCACTGACAGCAGCAGCCTTCCTGCCAATGGCCACTTGCTGAATGCCACCTATGGAAATCAGAAGCACTGTCTGAGAAAAAATGCTTGCAGAAAGAAAGATGCCCTTGGTCAAAGATGATAACTGACAGAACTAGCGTGTGAGGAAGAAAAATGCAAACATGAGCAAAGCACTGCCATTTATTAATTGCAACAGTGCTGAAATAAGATAAACTGCATATGACCCCTCGAGGCAGCAAATATCACTCAGCACCCCCACAACACTGCCAAGCGGCAAACACAGTGGCAATAAATTAAAAAATCAACTGTCTGCTAAAAAAAGGACCCTGCTCAGCTCAGAACTGAGGCTCATAACAGCAACAGGCTCCTCCTGAAACAGTGACCATTTATCTAGAAGGAAAATAAACATACTTTAATTTTATAAAAACAAACTGTTAATACAAATGGGAAAAATAAAAATCACCCACCCTGGCAGTATCCAATAAGATCCCGCAACAGTGAAAGGCAAAAATGCAATGGTCTAGAATTCTGAAGGAAGGCCTCACAATTTGTATGGCTGTGGACAGTAGACAGGACAATGCAAACCACCTCCCAGGGCCACTTGTAAGTCCTTCCCAACACAACTGCTTCATCAGTCAACCCAGTGCAAACTCAAGTACAAGGAGATCAAGCAGGTACATACAGCCCTCCCTTTGTTTCTGCCCATACATGCTCATATATATGTGTGAGTAGACTATATACATTAAAGAGAGATTACTTTTTAATTGGGTTTGGGAGACAAGTTCTTGCTATGTAGCTCAGGCTGGCTTCAAACTCACCACCCTTCTGCTCTGGTACACTGAGTGTTAGGATTGTAGGTATGTACCATCACACTCAGTGTGCTTGGAGGATGCACACAAAAATATGTATCTAGGAGAATTAAAGCAGTCATGAACTGTAAGTACAGAGAAGGAAAGAACGAGAGAGCACTCAAGACTTTTGTGTTAGCCCTCCTAAATATTACTATGGAAACTGTTGGGTGCCATCCCCAGTGGTAGACAGGTCCCAGCGGAGGATATAAGGAGTAGGCTAGGGAAGGCAGTGAGCCAGGCCATGATGGTCAGGAGAATCTCGCATCTTTATTTACACAGATACATTCATGTTGTTCCAAAACAGATCATACCACTTTTGTTTTTGGACATGTGTTTCACTTCCTCTTGTTCATCTTTTAGTGATCATTAATAAACTATGACAGAACAGAGCTATCATTTCCAAAAATTTTCCTTCAAGTTTTGACATCATTGATAAACAGGTACCTTTCATAACCATTTTTACTCATCAACCCCACAACTTTTAAGAATCTAGAGTCATATGACAGCCTGTTTTCAGCATAGTAGCTCTTGTGGCTATAAGTACACCAAAACAAAATCTCTAAGCTAGTCTGGGCAGACTGCCATGTCCCAAGCAGTGTATTGTTAACTCTTAATGGTTAGAGTACCCAGGAAAAACCCTCAGGCTAAAGCTGCTTCAGTTATTATTCAAATTCTGGCATAACACAATGTTTATATTTACGTTTTTGTCTGTATGTCTAATCCTGACATTCTGTTGTTCCTTGGTCATATGACACCACAGTGGCTCTGCATGTGCCAACTTTCTAAGAAGGTTGGTCCTGACGTCTCATTCCTATATCGTCTTTCCACTCCATTCTTTGTTCTAACTAACTTTGTTTCTGTATACACCACATAACTGCCTGAGTGTATAGTGTAAGAGGCTTACAATCTGAACTGTGGCCAATTCCTCTGGCCCACTGAATCTTGTTGACCTTCTTTGAGTATACTTTGTTTTAAATCTTTTTCCTGCATAAGTACAGGGGCAGATGTTTCAAGAGTGTCTCTGTCATAAACTCTTGTTTCAATAGGGTCTCTAATGGTTATTACAATTCTACAAAGAATAAAAGAACATCAAGAAAATAATGAGCCCACATTCTTACCTTTTGAATCTATGGTCTTAGAAAATGTGGTGTTCTACAATACTGTGGCACTTTTGAAACCCAAATCTAAGAGTAATGATGATGATAATGAAGATGATAGTGATGATGATGATGATGATGATGATGATGATACCAATAACAAGCCCACTCTGTCTCAGTTAAAGAGACACCTCTTTATTTTAAACTTACCTTGCCATCAAACTTGGAATATTCATTAAAGGGGTTATTCAGCTGCAGAGGGCACTGCTCCAGGCGTACAGACAATATGGACTGCTTGCCCGATCTTGGAGGCTTCTCTTTGAGGGATTTTTTTTCAAATAGTGACTTTAACTCCTGGGCTGAGATAGAAAAGGATAAAAAAACATCTTTGTCACTATGTACAGAAGACAAGTTTGTTTACTTTTCCTCAAGTCTTCCTCTGTATCCTAAAAGGGCATGTGGAGGAACAGGCTGATGCACATAGAACCCTCCACACACACTTGAGGGTCTGTGCACAGCAGGGCAGAGTGCACAGAGAGATGCTCAGGCCTGAACGATGGAAGAAGAGTCACTGCAGTGGAGCAGCTATCCTTAAGAAGAGCTCACAGCTGGAGCACCCAGGCTTCAGCAGTCACTACCTCTCTGGGTGTGTCAACCTAGAAAACCTCAGCGCTCTCTCATGTCCTACCACTAAATGATTTTAGAATTCTAGATCTTTAGGGGCAAGGTCCTTTCCAATGGCACCAGCATAAAAATCTTGAGGACAAAAACAGAGAAGGAAAAAGAGGAACAATGAATTAGCTGGATAGACAATAGCTAGGCAAGAGGTATAGACAGGATTTCGAGGGAAAGAAAGGAAGAGGAGGAGGGATCTAGGAGGGTGAAGTCACCAGCTAAACAGAAAGAAAACAGGAGGTACAAGATGAAAGAGAGGTGACAGAACATAGATTAATACAAATGGGTTAAGTTTTAAGACTAGTTGAGACAAGCCTAAGCTGAAGGCCAAGCTTTCATAAGTAATAAGAAGTCTCTGGGTCATTATTTGTGAGCTGGCAGCCAAAAGAAAAATCCGCCTTCATTTGGTGCCCAAATTAAGGCACATAAATCCACATAAAGCCCGAGCTGGGGGGGGGGGTGTGAGGAAAAGTCCCGAGCAGGCTCAGTGCTTGCAGCATACACAGGCATGGGTCTTTTAAGAGGCACTGCTACTGAGCACTTAAATGGGATTTATGGAGCAGCGAGCAACACACTACTCGGTGATGGGAGACTAGGTAGAAGCGCCTACCACAGTGTGGACCCAGAAACTTCCCCAAGTTGGGGCAGATAGACCTGCTCCAGACTGGTCCACAGGCATGAGGCTCCACTCTTATCAACAAAAAGGGGGATTGCCAGCCAGGCACAGAGGAAGCAGGACATGCAGGAGGAGTAGTAAAAACCACAAGGCACATGACAGCACATATATTAATAGAAATGGGTTAATTTAAGTTATAAGAGCTAGTTATACACAAGCCTAAGCTAAAGCCAAGCATTCATAAATAATAAGTCTCTGTGTCATGATTTGAGGGCTGTAGGCCCAAAAAAGCCTGCTACACTTAGCAGTTTAAAGTGCTGCTTCCACAGTCAGAGAATGCTGCAGACACACAGAAAGGAAATGGTTATAGACAGTCATAGAAAATAAATAGTTTAAGGGCCGGCGGTGGTGGCATATACCTTTAATCCCAGCACTCCGGAGGCAGAGGCAGATCTCTGTGAGTTCAAGACCAGCCTGGTCAACAAGAGCTAGTTCCAGGACAACCCCCAAAGCCAGAGAAATCTTATCTTGAAAAATCAACCCCCCCAAATAAAAAGAAAATAGTTTAAAAGTAATAAAATTTTTAAAGAGAAAATAAAGTAATATAAAAATAAAAAGCCATGTAAAGATGGGAAATACAGGTCAGCACTTGGGAGGCAGAGGCAGGAGGATATCTGTGAGTTCAAGGTCAACCTGGTCTACAGAGTGAATGACAGGACACCTAGGGCTACATAGATAAACTCTGTCTAGGAAAAAGAGAAGGGGGGGAATATACAGGGTTTCTGGATCCTGTATGATGCTTTGTTGATTTTGAAATTTTTAAATGCTAATGAACAAAAAAGAATAGCTGCTTAGAGACATTGGATTATGGGTTCTACTAAGTTAAACCAATCTATATAGTTTAAGAATGTCTTCACTTCAGAATGAAAGCCAGAAAATATGTTGCACTGGGGGAGAGGTTATGCCTTTGTTTCCACAGTAAACAAAAAGTTATGGATCTCTTCAAAATTAATGAAGATCAAACTTGATTGGGGGAAACCTGAGAATCCTAACTACAGACATGAAAGAAGAAACCAAGAAAGACTATAGGACAGGTGATGTATATACTGATCCCTCTACTACTGGAACAGTTCTGAGACTGGATAAAATAGATTAAATCTTGTTGGCTACAAGAGTTGGCTCAGGACTTATTGTTGCATACCATCCTTTCATATGACATGGATACAGGTTTGATTATACAGTCCAGACTCATAAAGTTAACAAATGCCTTTTACCTGCTCAAACATAAAACAAAAAGTCAGCCATAGCTGAATAGCACATAATACACATACCATACTTCTGTTAATGCACATCTGTTACCTTTAAGGTTATGTGTTTTTAGAAAAAAGACCAGACGTCAATAAAGACAAATAGCCCAGGTGATCCAGACTCTCAAAATACCTCTGCTGCAGTTTCCTCAAAATTCAACATGTAGAACAACTTCAAACCTGCTAAATGAGATAGTCTAGCCTCCCAACCAAAAGATAACCCTTGCACTTTCCCGTCACAATGAAACTGGACAACAGCTAGCTCTCCTAGGACTTGACCATTATCTCAATTTTCTCAGGGTTCCCTAAAGATCTCGTTGTCCCCAGACAACAGAAGCTGCCTAGAAAGCACAATGCCAACACTCCCAAGAGGAGGGATAGGTGATTTTTGGTCATGCGGTGGGGTATGGATGTTTGTCATCATTTAGAGAGGTTGGTTACAAGTTGTTATTGGTAATAGTCAGTAAAAAAAAAAAAGATCAAAGATTAGATAAGATTCAGGGATCTCTTTCGAAAGGGAAAAAGGGGGGGATAAAGGGTAGATTGTTGAGTCTACTTTTGAACAACCAGTAGTCTCAAGTATTTTACATTAGTATGGACTATCCAGCTCATTTAAAAATGTAACATAAAGTTCTAGTCCTTAAAATCTATTATTATAAACCATTTAGGATAATTAAGAAACACAGGTCAATTGTTATCTATAACAATCAACCTTGTATTAATCTTAAGTATGTTTTCAAGGTCATACAGAAATATATTTTAGACACACGGTCTTAAAACACTTCAAAGACCTACAGAATATGGTATTTAAAATGTTTTAATAACATAAGGTTTTTCATGATAGTGAGACATGTCTGGTTCCTGGCAGCACCAATTTACTTCAAAAAAGGATGATGAGCATCAAAGAACCTCCATATGAAGTTTGCTTTTACTGTGGCAAAGTTAGTCACTAGGCAAGAAACTGCCCTTAACTCAACTACTGACAGTATGCTGTCCAAACTAGACAAGCAGGAAACAAACCAAGTGACTGCCAAACTTTGGCAAGACAAAGTAGAACAGTCCTTCAAAATAACTGCTTCACAGAAAAGTCTGTCAGATATTCTAGGCTTGTAGGCGAGGATGGATGCCCCAATGTTACAGAGGGAACTTGGGTGACTGTACAAGCAGCCAGACGTCTCTGTCATTTCTATAGTTTTAGAAATTGTTGCTTTGCACTTCCTTTTTACTCAGGTAATATTTTATCTTTCTTGGGTCTCTGAGGGAGTTGAAGATGATATAGTTATAGATACAATTTTTCTTGTTATCAAATTCAGAAAAGAAACTTATATAAAAGATGTAAAGTTTATAAGGTTAAGAAACATAAAAACTGACCAGGCGTTGACGGCACACGCCTTTAATCCCAGCACTCAAGAGGCAGAGGGAGGAGGATCTCTGTGAGTTCGAGGCCAGCCTGGTCTACAAGAGCTAGTTTCAGGACAGCTTCCAAAGTCACAGAGAAACCCTGTCTCAAAAAACCAAACCAAAACAACAACAAAAACCATAAAAGCTAAAGTTGTTTATCTAAGGTGTTGTAAGATCTAAAAAGATATTTTTAGAATTGTAATACAAGTTATGATAAAAAATTGTTTAGGTATAAAACTTTGGACTCACTAAGATAGGATATTAATACAGTATTTTCTCCAAGTTTGCCAGATACATATGGACTAAACATTTTGAATGTAATCCTTTCCTGAGAGTTGTTCTTACTGTATATAGTTTTACTATGTTAGACATAAAACCTTTTCTTTTTATTGAGACAAAAAGGAGGAAATGTGAGTATTTGCACACTGTGTGAAGATGTGTTGCTGTGATTGGTGTAATAAGAAGCTGAATGGGTAATAGCTAGGCAGGAAGTACACACAGGATTTCTAGGGACAGAAGGAAAAGGAATCTAGGAGGGCAGAGTTGCCAGAGAAGAAACAGGAGGTGCAAGATGAAAGAGAGATAACATCACATCACAGATTATAGATTATTATAAACAGGTTAATTTAAGTTATAAGAGCTAGTTGACACAAGCCTAAAGGCCAAACTTTTATAATTAATAAGTCTCTGTGTCGTTATTTGTGAGCTGGTAGCCAAAGAAATATCCACCTACAATCATACTTTTTCGTTTCAAGAATATTAGTAACTGTACAATCTCAGTTTTTCGGGGGTTTTTTGTTTTGTTTTGTTTTTCAAGACAAGGTTTCTCTGTACTGTTTTGGAGCCTGTCCTGGAACTCGCTCTGTAGACCAGACTGGCCTCGAACTCACAGAGATCTGCCTGCCTCTGCCTCCCGAGTGCTGGGATTAAAGGCATGCCCAGCCAATCTCAGATTTTTAAATCTGCAGTCAACAGGTTCGATCCCATTCAACTCTTCAACAATGTCAAATTAATTCAAGAGAAATCAACAGAATTCTCCAATGGTCATTTTACAACTTTTTAAAACTATATCAGCTTATCAACAGGCTAGTGAAGTAAATTCATCAAATGAATCTCTACAGAGTTAGTGCATGAGTCAGATGGTAAAGTATTCCCTCCACAGGGGACAGCTTCCAAAGCTCTATCACCTCTGCAAACACTGCCACTTCCAGCCAAAGATGGGCCACACGTATGGCACTGTTTCCATAAAACTGCATGAGCTACTGGCATCCTAACCATCCTAGCTTGTGCGAAAGCTTCCTATGATTACACTTGCAACAACACAACTTCTAGGCATAATTCTGTGACTATATCTCATATG